TTTTATTAAATCGATGTTAAATTAGCTAATAATAACATCAATTAACATAAGTGATGTTAGAAAATGAATTTTGTATTATTTATTAATAAGTAACTCAAAATAGTATCCTTCAGTTTTGTGATACTATTTAATTGATGCAATATACACATTTTTTCGTTAACCGATTAACGACAACGACATAAAAAATATTCTCTTCGCAAATATGTTTTTTTTTAAAAGGCCTCTTCTCAAATATGTGACTTATCATGTATAGTTTAAACTATTCATTCTTTGTCAAACCATGTATATTTTCATCAAATAATTTCTAGTCTCCAAAATTTAATATCTTATTGTTTGTTGTAGAGCTTAATCCACAAGGTGGTAGGGAGAAAAGATCGACTCCCAATGGAAATGACAAAGAATGGACAACAACATTTCCAAACCTCCAGTAATGCAATAGTGCCTTTTACAAGTTAAATTGCATAAATACAAACTAATTATAATGATAACCGAAATATATAACTTTTAAAACAAATTGGCTATGTAATATCAAAATATATAAAGGGAAATCCTTAAAAAATGTTTGTAAAATCAACATGCGCGTATGCGCGACTGTGAAATTCGAGAGGTACCTAACGGGCAAGGTAAAGCTTTGTTATTTACTTGTATGTTATAAGACTTAAGAAGAAGCAATCGATGATGTTGGAGTTTGTTTCAGGTTCTCTGTGTTGGGTCTGAGGTTGGAGTAGTAAAGCCTGGCAAGAAGGTAACTTTGTTCATCTAACTCTAACATCATTTCACTGAGAGCTAAAGACTCTTTACAGAATCTTATTCATTCGTGTTGTCGTTGTGTCTTTTGCGGGTTCTCTTCTCTGACATTAGTGCCTATGAGGTTTGTATTTGAGTGACGATGAAATATATGAAACACTGTTCTATGACTTTAGTCATGCTTTTGTAACTGAGACATCGCTCTTGATTTCTTCAGGTTGATATAGAAACAGATCCTAAGCATTGCTTTTGCAAAGAGAGTGATTTTTTAGCAATCGTCCGTTGATTTGAAGTTAGTTGAGGAGACAGGGTTAGTTCAATTGAAGTTGGATAAAGTCTTCTTATCTTTGAATTGTTTCGTACCACTTATAAAAGTTTTATCTAAAATCTAATTACCAATGAATAAATGAGCCTAACTTTTTATATATATACTAAGTTTCATAACATTTGAACTTTGATTTCCAGGCAGCTCCTGGAGAGAAAACATAATGTCTATGTTTCATCCTATAAATTTTGTAAAGGATTATGTTCCAGATCCACTCAAAGCTCATGTAAGTCACAAAATATATGAACCTTATACTTACATCTCATACTAAACAAACCCATTTTTTTATTAGGACTTATTT